AAAATGAGTTTGTGACAAAATTAGCATGTATATATTCAAAAGTAGTTATATTAGATGGAGGTTTGTGTGAAATCTTTAAAAAACAAAATAATTGAAGATAAGCTTGCATGGTTTGAGTAGTACAATGAAGATTAGATGTATTTCTATTGAAGTTAATAATATTAACCTCATATAATCAGTTTGGAGCAATACTATTAAAGAAAAGCAACTAAGCATAGAAACCAAAAGATACCAAGCTCATAAATCGTATCATCTAATTCCCATTTTCAAAAGCTTATATTCTTTTATAAACAAACTCTCTTCTATCAGACATTTTAATTCAATGAAGCTTTTCTTGAAGAAAATATTTATACGATAAAATAAGTTTAATAGCAGTTGAACGAATAATTATAGTTCTACATTGTACTACTTATTAGACATGCTCCATCAAGTTTGCAATTTAAAATTGTCAAACTTTGATGTTAAATTTTATTAAGACTTTCACATGATTACATTTACACTTTTTTTATTTAGAAATCTTTATAATTTCTAAGTAATCTCAGGAATATTGTATAAACTTTGTTTCAATTAAGATTCAAACATTTTCATTTCATTTTCTATTTTTTTTTTTTTTTTCAATTTCAAGCATTGGTAGATTAGCATTCATAGCTAGCATTATAAGGTGGTGTCTCATTGGATAACTTGTTCATTTATTTTTCTTAATCATTATCATATTTCATTCAATTTTTTTAGCCATATTCCAAATATAAGTGATTATAGTGTATAATTTTTTTTAAATTAATTATGAAATTTGTGCAATTACACTGAAATAGATATTTACTTAATTTCTGTCAAGTACTTCTAAACTCTTAAACATGATCTTAAGTGAAATTATATCAAGTAATTAGTGCAAACAAATTAAAAACTCATAATTAATATAAAGTAGAAACATAATTACTTTCCTTGGCCTATAATTAAATTTATTAATTTTCCCTTCCTTTAATTTGCTTTTTTCTTTTTGATTTTGATTTAATCTACAATTAAGCATGATATCTTAACGTAAATTTACAATAACATAATTAATAGTTTATTTTAATATTTAACTTTTACTTAATTCACCTATTCTTCTTGAAACAAATTCTTAAGAACATAATTTTAGATGGCCTTTCATAAAGAGGATAAAATTGTGTCTTACTTAGCACAACCAATGATACTTTGATGTCTTGTATACCTAATAAGTTTCAAATTTCTTGTTTATGATATACAATTTCTTAATAATTAAAATTTCAAGCTAAAAATATTTAATTTTCACATATTTATACTACAATAAATGAATAAATTATCAAATGATTTTTTTGTAAAGAATATGCAAGTTTTAGCATTTTAATAGGAAAAAAAAATCATGGATTTTATTATAATGGATTAAAATAAGATTAAAAATGAATTAAATTTAGTGGAAAATAAAAAACAGTTAGAATATCCTCATTTTTAATGCATTTAATTTTAATTTTTGATTGTTTTAGTTGTAAGTGTTATAAAAAATTGACGACAATAAAACGAAAAATAGATCAAAAAAATTACAAAAAAAAAAAAAGACGACACAAGTTTTACGTGGTTCGGCAAATTGCCTACGTCCACGAAGCTGCAGAGGATTTTATTAACTTGAGGAATAACACCGTCGAACACCTCGACGTTTACAAGAAAAACTCATTTATGTCTCTCTCTCTCTCTCTCTCTTCCCCTCTCTCTCTCTCTAAAGCCACCAAAAGAAATTTTTTTTTCCCTGTTAGCAAATCTAAAGGAAAAAAAACAGAGCAGTTTTCTTTTCCCTTTCCCTTGAACGCTACAGCCGAGGAGGAGTTTTAGGATGGTGCATTTCTAGCCCCTTTTGGCTTTTGCAATTTACAATAAGATAAAAGCCTAATTAAAGAAACATATGAGGGAAGCTTTGGCGAGATCGCTTGAGGGGGAGGGAAGCTTTGGCGGGACCGCGTGGGAGAGCTCATACAGAAAGAACGGTTGGCGGGATCCACAGGTAGAGAGGAATCCAGGTGATGCTTCATAGAAGGAATCAAATTAATTAGCAATTAATTTTAATTATCTGCCATAAAGAAGAATTGTCATAACAGATGAGGTGGATTGGGCTCCACCTACTCAACAGTAAGATTATTTTAACACATAATAAAAGAGTGGGGGAATTATTTTGAAAATTTTTTCATAATTTAGGATTAAAATAACCTTCTGCAAATAGTCAGTAAACTATTTTAACATTTTTTTTAAATTTTAAATCAAAATATTTATTCATTAAGCGAACTTTCCAAATCATGAAATTGCAACTCTTCCCAAAAGAAAAAAAGAAAAATCGAGAGCTTGTGCTAGCTCCGTTGCAGATTTGTCATTCTTGTTGACCATAAAAATTGAATTAAAAAAGTTAAATAAATTAAAATCCTACCTAATCCAATAAGCGCTGCATGCGTCACGAAGATTATTCAGAGAGTAATGGAGTTATATCCGTGTTATACTCCTATAAATTCTCAAAAAAATTGCAGAGGGTAGAAGGTGATTATAACCTCAATACTAATAAACTCGCTGAAACACAGCGCTGCGTACACAAATTTTTCTCCCTAAAGACCGAGCACTCAATTCCTTTCCTTCGTCTCACAAATGGAAAATATTTGCGTACTTAAGATGTACGCAGAGCTGCGAGAGGTTATTCAAAAGTTATAAGGGGGTTATATCCGTGTTATACCTCATGTAACTTCCCTGTAACCTATAAATAAGTTTCGTGCTTCTGTAATTCTGATAAGTACAGGTAAGTTAGAGGAAGGTTACAGGGTATAACAGGGATCTAACCCTCTGAGGGTATGACAGATATCTAATCCCATGAATAACCTGAAGCTTGCTTCTCCATTTTATTCTTCTTGGGACCAAAATGACTCCCCCTCGTAGCCCCGACCTCTCCATTCAGTATGAAAAATATTTGCATATGTAAGATGTACGCAGAGCTGCGTATGTCGAAATGTTATTTAGAGGTTATAATGGGGTTATATCTGTGTTATACTCTTATAATTTTATTGTAATCTACCTGTCACATATAAATAAGTTTCGTGCTTCTGTAATTCTGATAAGTAGATGTGAAACTATAGGAAAATTACAGGATATAACAGGGATCTAACTCCGAAAGGGTTTCAGGGATCTAACCCCCTGAATAACCTGAAGCCTGCTTCTCCATTTTCTTCTTCCTGGGACTCGTAACCCCGCCTCTCCCTTCAGTATGAAGCAGAAATCGAAGCCCCTTCTTGACTCTTTTGCTCGCCTACTTCTCATACAGTCATGGCTAGGGCTAGTTGTGAAGGCAATGACATAATTTCAGCGGAAAAAGGGATCAGAAACATTCTGTTTGAATCATCTTGCTCCATCTTCGGCGCGATACGCTCGCGGCTAGAGACAGCGGGAAAGCAACGTCGGAATCGCGGCATACAGAGACCTTCGAAACTCTTGTCTCTCTCCTTTGTGCCATATCCCTCTCAATGCAGTCGCGATTTTGCTATTGGCAAACCAACGACGAGATCGCAACCTTACGAAGACTTCCAGAACTCTTACTCTCCCTGTTTGCCTCCGTTTCTCACAAAACACTCGCGACTAGGGCTAGCGGGAAAGGCAACTATGGGATCATTTCGTACAAAGACCTCTGAAATTTTCGCTCTTCCCATCTGATTTCGAAGAAATTTCAGCCTTCCATCTCTCCCGTCCTGTGCTCGAGCAAGATCTGGATGAGTATTTTGGTTTTGTTTTCGTCTGCTATAGAGGAATACATGCAATTACAAACGATAAACCTGGAATACTGCACATTTATTCATATATGTTCGACCTTAAATTGGTTCAGAAAAACCCACGAAAGTAATCCTGCTGCAGAACTCCAGATTGCATGCCTTCATCTGTGGAAATAAGAAGCCACATTTCTAATATACAGTCATGATTCTCGTCTATATCCATGGGCATTGAAGAAGAATATGGATTTTGCTACAGTATATCATAGCAAGACGATTCGGGTTCCTTTTTTTGTCAGGTGGTTGCGAAATTTCTGATGACTTAGGCTTGCAAATGATTCAAAAATTTGAACTTTTTGAACTTGCAAAGTACTTTAAATTGTGAACGTTTGAACTTGCCAAAATAATTTAAAACTTGGACATTTTGAACTTTAAAATGACATAAAAATATAAAAAATAAAAGAAAATATAAATTGCAATAGACAAGATAATCACTCATAATTTAAATCAAAACATTTCAAAAGAACTCTCAAATGGACATGAGATTTATGAAAAATTGAATAATTTGCCAATTAATGTAATTGGACTTCTTGACTTAAAGCTAGATCATATTTGAAAGTGATCAAATAAAAATCTTTCTAATAGCAAATGAATTTTTATGTGATATTTATGGATACATAGTTCCCTCCCTCCCTCTCTCCCTCCCTCCTTCTCTCTTTCTCTATTTCTATCGTATGAGAGTTACACCCCCTTTTTTGGTCCCGATTTATGACAATGTATTTCTGCATTCACTACTCATTTTAACTCACTTTATGGTGGTGTTTGGTAGGGTCTTGTTAATAGGATTTATCGTCAGGATTTACGTAAAAAAGCACATGTTCAATGGATTTATGAAATTTGGGATTCAAGGTCGGAATTTTGCTGCCTTCATATCATGTTAAAGTCGGATTTAATAAATCCAACAAAGGGGTGAATTTAATGAATCATTATTTACTGAATCCTACGAATGCTAAATCCTTTCTACAACCAAACATCCCTTTATCATTCCTTCTCGAATCCTGCTAACTTCATCTCACGGAAATGGTGCTAGCCTGTTCATAAAGTCCCAGTTGTTAAAGCTATTCACTTATTATTGTAGAGCTGAATTTTGTAGACGTGTGGCTAGCTGTATTTTCAGTTGCCTTCGCTTTTTTAGGTTCCCTTTTTCCCCCATTTCTTTGTCTCAGTTAGTAATGTGAATCATATATGCAGTGCATTTTGGATAATGGGGTACTCCCTTGCCTCTTTCATCTTCTCACACGAAGTTACAAGAAGAGCATAAAGAAGGAGGCATGCTGGACCATTTCAAATATCACTGCTGGGACCGGTGATCAAATACAGGTAAATGGTTGTTTTGTTGGCCACTTTACGTGCATAATTTTGTGAATGAGAATTTCCATTTGATTTATATATTCATGTTTGGTATGTTACCGGTATTGATGAACCCATGTCGGTCTGATATGACTCATTTGGGACTTTTTTTTGGCGCACTTTCCTTGATGCAGGCTGTTATTGATGCAAACATTATTAGTCCTTTGGTTCATCTGCTGATGCATGCAGAATTTGACATAAAAAAAGAAGCAGCTTGGGCTATCTCAAATGCTACTTCTGGGGGTTCCACTGAACAAATCCAGTTAAGACATCTTTCTTCATTAATTTTTCACATTTTCCAGGCCTAGTAAGCATTGTTGTCTGTCGCTTTGAGATATATTATCAATTGTTTCTTTCCTCGTTTTTCTAGAACTTGTGTTAAGGTAAATAAAATAAAACGTTAGCTGATTGTGTAATTTCAGTTATTTTGGTTTCTTTCAACCTTTAAAACTGTAGTAGGATTGCTTAGTATTTCTTTTACCTCAATTTTTTTTTTAATTTTTATGATGCTATCACTTCAATTAACTTAGATTTAAACTCACGTGAGAAGTAGGATGTCACTGTTCATGAAGTCAAACCTTGGAAGAGACACTTGAAAAAACACATGGGGATCACTACTTGCTTTTTCTCAACTATTTTTTTAACCGAAGTTTAATATGTTTTGATGTAAATACAAAAATCATCAGTTCATTCATTCCAATGGATCTGACAGCCGATGTAAAATTATACTTCATTTAGCATTCGCACCACAATAAACACACATATCGAACCTTCTTAAAACTACAATCACACACATACATCCATCACTTAACAGCTTATTAAAAAGTATGAATATAGAAATATACAACTGGAAGATCAAGGCCTCACACCATTACAAGGATATTCGTTTATGGAAGTTGTCAATATTTACGAGTGCTCAAAGGATCCATATTCAATAATTTACACAAGAATTAAGATGAAGCGTAATTATTCAACAATTCTATAATAATATACATGTCTCTAGTCTCTTAATTAAAACCCCAAAAGAAGACGCAAATAAGTAACTTCTTAGAATCCTGTAAGATCTATTTTACTATCGCAAGTTTTAGCTCAATAAATTTGATTTCCAGCAAGGACAAGAAGTTCTTGATCATAGTTTTAGTAAAATAGTAAGTTTTCAACTTTACAATTGCTATTAATAATTTCAAAAATTTTGTGAGCAAAATGTGCATACTATAGCTTATTATATTTTTCTAGCATGAATCATTTATCATATTATGTCATAACTCGGTCAGGGGATTGAAATTAACCAAAGCTGGTATAGATGGTCGGATGATGGAAATTAAATTTTATATGATTAATATTTAACAAATGAAAGAGCCACTAAAAAAATAAATTAAAGGAATATAGTTAAATTTACCTCATTTCCGGTCGTTTCCTGGAAGCGACACTCTGTATATCCTGAATACAGTGAAAAGTGCGCAATGGCCGCTACACCGACGCCCGAGTGTAGCATCAAATAAGCAAGAGTTTCCATAATAAGCAAGGGTTCCCACATTATGGGCGAATGCGGGTAAAAAAGTTAGTCCATGAAACTAATATTAGGATAGGATCTTGGAATATCGGCACTCTCAATGGTAAATTAATGGAATTAGTTGATATTATGATTCATAGGAAAATTAATATCTTATGTATTCAAGAAACTAAGTGGGTGGGAGAAAAGGCTAAGGAGATTGATAATTTAGGTTTTAAACTTTGGTATTCTGGTAAGAGTCGCACTAGAAATGGTGTAGGTGTAATTATAGATAAGAGTTTGAAAGATAATGTTGTAAAAATTAATAGAGTTGGTGATAGAATTATAGCCCTTAAGATTATCATTGATACTAAGATTTTTAATATTATAAGTGTTTATGCTCCTCAAGTAGGTTTAGATACAGAGTTTAAAGATAAATTTTGGAATGACTTAGAAGACTTAATACAAATGATACATCTTGAAAAAAAAAAAATTATTGGAGGAAATTTAAATGGACATGTTGGTAGAGTGGTAGAAGACTTCAGAAATACTCATGATAGCTACGATTTTGGAGTAACTAATGAAGAATATAGAGTTATTTTAGATTTTGTTTTAGCGTATGATTTTGTTATTACTAATACTTTATTCAAGAAAAGGGTTGAACATCTTATTACTTATAAGAGTGGATCTAATAAAACACAAATTGATTATTTTCTTATGGGAAGAAGAGATCGTCGTGATTGTAAAGATTGTAAAGTCATTCCAAGTGAAAATTTAAATACCCAACATCGTTTATTAGTTTTAGATTTTAAAATTAAGAGTTGTAAAATAAAAAATACCAGGACTCATCATTGCAGAATTAGATGGAGAAACTTAAAAGATACAAATAAAATTAATTTTATGAGTAAAATTCAAGATTTCAAAATTTGGGATATTCATGAAGAAGTAAATGTTATGTGGGATAAAGTAACAAACGCTATTAAACAAGTAGCAAAAGATGTGCTTGGAGAATCAAAAGAAAAAAAATTTATAAATAAAAATAGTTGGTGGTGGAATAATATTGTGCAAGAAAAGATAAATATAAGAAGTTATGTTATAAAAATTCGTTCAATTCGTTCTAATGTAAAAGCTTAGAGAACTGAGAAAATATCAAACGACCCGCTGGAAGTCTACAAGAACAATCTGTGACGCTAAAAATTTTTCTTTTAATGATCTTTATAATAGATTAGATACTAAGGAGGGTGAAAAATATATGTATGAAAAATATATGTATAAACC